ATTTTCGCAGCCCTTACATTGTGATAACAAAATAAATTATTTTGCTATCATTTTAAATACTTTAGCAAATTTAGAGAGTTATTAACTTAATAGGTCTTATATTTTACCTGATGTGATATACACACTCAATAATGTTAATTATTTATGAAGTATATATGTTATAACATACCTGCTTGTATTTTTGCATTTGCCTAAGTAATAAAATTAATATATATTTTTTTTTTTAATATAATATATTAAATCAAATCTTTCAATAACATTACTCGCTGCTACAATATATTCATATTTTAATTTCGTTTTCGTTTTCGTATTTTGAGTTATAAAATATTTCTTTTAGGGAAGTTTTTAATAATTCTAATCTAAAAACAGTTCTGAATAAATTATAATTATGTAATAATAATTTTTAAATTATTGAACTTATTTATTGATCAAAACTCATATGCTGTTCAAAAAAAATTCTTAAAACTTTATAATGAAGTTCAATGTATAAAAAAACTAAGTTAAAAATATTGTTTAATCTGGATAAAATGGAAAGATTACAAAAAACTTGAAACAAATAGTATTTTCCTGAATTCGAGGGATTACATTAATTCGACCATTTTATATACCTGTATACATAAGAAATTAAATAAAATCCAAGAACTCAATTGAATGATTCTTAGAATTGGTACAACGTTGGAGTAATATCAGTAGTTGGAATAAGGTTTTCGTCCGGTTGGAGAATTAGTCTCTTGTACGCCTTGTGGTGAGGCGGTGATTGGAAATGTCTAGGGAAATTATTCTACGAATATCCGTCATAATTGAATCTCACCCATCTGCCACCTCACACCATTCTGTTTGGTTTGGAGACTTACGAGGGCGTTAGAACTATCGGTCATTAACCTCAACACAAGTAGGAACTATTTGCCTTTAAAAATTTTACACATTTTACCTAAAAGTCGAACGACTATAATATCCAAATAGTTAATTAATTTTAACAGATATACAATTATCATCATTATAATCATTTTTAGGCAAGATGAAAAAGGGTTTGTTTCTAGGTAGAGATAAAAGTAATTCAATCTAAAAAACTACATGTTTTTATAATTTTTTAATTACAGATTTTACTTGACCCGAGTGTAAAAAACCGCAATTCTATTCCAGATTATATATTTATGTGAAGTTTTTAGCATATTGCTGTATCCACTCAATAGATAATTAAAAGTTTAAAAAGTTGTTTCTGGTTTGTCATGTACAACTTATTGTACATGACATGCATACTGTATTTACGTGGAATTAAAATGCACATATTTAATGAAATTATGTTTATCATTGGGGAAATAACACGTACATACTCTGAGTAACTTTAATTATTAATCTCAATTTATGTAATTAGATCACAGATACATTTTGGTCTATAGTTCATCGCTGTTTTCAACACTATATATTTTTTCATCCTGAAGACGATTATCGTAACAGTGTTTTTGTTGAAGTAAAAGCCATTTAGTTAAAGCCCTTAATAAATTATTAAATATATTAAAAATAAAAATGATTCTATATAAGTTTTAATACTTGAACATCTGGCCTATATCTACTATCGTTGTTACGAATGTAGTATCATTTTATTCACACAGTGTATAGATTTTTAAGCCGGTAAAAGTATGTTTTGAAAAATTTTAATGTATATATAGTGATGACAATGTAATTATTATTATTCTATTAATTAGAATGATTTTTGTTAGCTAAGGTTTGAATGGCTTAGGTTTCTTGACTTGGAGACCACTATGCCCTTAACACGTAGGATATTTTTGGTATATGGAGCGAATACCGAAATGGCAAGTGTGTTATCCCTTATCGTTAAATTTAGTAGTAGAGTATTAATTCAAGAGTTCTTATTCTAGTGGAATATTTATAAGAAAAAAATTTACTAATCCCATTCAAGCGAAAAATATGAATTTTCGCAAGTAAATGTTTTTGTATTAGGAATATCTGACTCTCACATCCTTCTTTGTATTTAATGCTCAATAATTGAATTGGAGATAAGGCTTTTTACTTGTTAAAATTATATTATATTCAAACCATATTTGGCAACATAAAATGACAGCTTTTAATAGTATATTTACAGATTAGTTATTATTCCAATGAATAAAATAGATTTTGATAAAAAACTGGGGTTTATAAGAGAAATAGCCATTATTTTGATATTGCCCCAGATATTTCATTTAGAAATTTTCATAAAAAAGCGCTTTCCTTTCGATTTTATTCGACCACTCATGATAGACTAACTATTCTCCTTCTTATTGCAAGACCTATTTTGGACTTGAAATAGATTTTAAAGTATGCCCTTAAATCACAACATTGTCGACCTAGTTATTTTCTGTTAATAGCTCCATCACTTTGGTTTTATTATCATTTACATTCAGCCCTATGGTTTTTGTTTCTTTAATGAGGGCTGTGGTGCTCTGCGTCACACTCTCTCTGTCGATGTCGATACTATATTTATCCCTTTGTATACTTCATACGACTTTCTCCAGTGCAATATTGAATAGTAGTGGCGAAAAAGCGTCACCTTGCTTTAAGCCTGTTACCACTTGAAATTCTTTAGATAGTACGTTGTCGACTCTCACTTGATACATTGTACCATTCATGCATACTTTTGCCAGAGAAATAATCTTATTTGGAATTCCGAATTCGTACATTATATTATAAAGACTTTCCCGATGGATGCTATCATATGCCTTTTTGAAGTTGACAAATACCTGTCACATATTTTGCCTATATTCAAACTTTTTTTCTATAATTTGACTAAACACCGACAGCTTGAATTCCCTTTTTGAAATCCGGATTGGTACTCCCTTATACATTCATCTGTAAAGGGTTGTAATCTTCTTAGTAATATCTTTGAGAACATCTTATAAGCCGTGTTCAGCAGTGATATTCCTCTATAGTTGTTATAATTAAGTTTGTCACATTTCTTGTGTAGCGTTACATTCTTCTGGGAGTTCCTCGTCGTTCCATATTTTTGACATAACTCATATATTGATTGATGTAGTGCTTCCCCACCATATTTTATTAGTTCGGCCGGTATTCCATCTGTTCTAGGCGCTTTTCAGTTCTTCAGTCTGTTGATAGCTTTTTTTACTTCGTGCATGGATACATCGTTTATCTCCTGTTCCACCCTATGATCTATTTATACTGCTACTGGTCTCACTGGTACTTCACTACAAAGCAGTTTCTCAAAGTAATTTATTCATCTTATTACTTTCTCAATTGGGTCTATTAAAATGTTGTCATCAATATCCTTGACAGCTTTTAGATTCGGGTTAAATTGTTTGTACGTTTTAATCTTTACTAAAAAGTTCCTTATTCTACCTTGTGTGTGGTTCTATTTTGTCTCACGCAATAGTTCATTAATTTAGTTTCTTTTTTCCCTCTGCATGATCCGTTTACATGCTCTCCGTTCTGCTTCATAATTTTCTTCGCTTAACGGGATCTTAAGCTGGGAGTATCTTTGGGGAGTTTCACTTTTTTTTTCTACGGCCTTCCTACAATCACTATTAAACCATTTACTCTCTCGTTTTTTTGGTTCACCTTGTGTGCTGTGAGCTGCCGCTTCGAGTATGGTCTTTTTTATAATACTCCAGTTCATTTGTCTCTCCTTTAATTTAACTGTAATATATATTTTTCTTTTTTCTTCATCTTTGAGTTCTTCAATGTTGAATTTTGGTGTTTTTTATAAATACCTACTTGCTCTTTGTAGTATGAGACGGAAATTGCATATTACTTGGAAATGATCCGTATCACAGTCTGCATTTTTGTAACTTCTCACATCTGTTCATCTTAATACAATCTCAATATAAATCTGTTTTATTTCACTGGGTTCCTAGTCATGCTGATATTTTAGGAAATTAAGTAGTAGACCTTTTTTCTAATTTTACCTCACCTTTCTTTACTCCTTTGAGTTATAACATTCACGTTCTACTTTTTTGCACGTCTTTCAATAGACTATCATTAAAGATTTTGTTCTTTACATGATAACATAGTTTTATGTGACATTCCCAATCTCCTTTTTTATTTCATCATCCTAAGTTATAATAGAACTTCTCTATTTAACTAATTTGCCTCTCACAATATTCGTCATCATTCTACATATAATGTATAAAACTTGATAATCATCTCGTATAATTAGTATATTATATTTAGTTGATCAGCTAAATATTATATTAATAATAATATTACTAATTATAATTAATAGTAGGCTACACAATATTTTTAAAAATTTATATAAAAAAAAAGGCTATAATAAATTGATGATATTATGATTTATGGATATTTAAGTAACATACAATTGATTTAAATATTTCTAAATGAACAGCAATTTAAATAACTTACGTTTAAAGTGTACTTGACCTCCTACGAGGTGAATATTGTAGTGCAGTTGAAAGGTTTTTAAACTCTTAACAGCACAGATTCGAAGAACTACTGACTCAAATATTGACTACATGACTCATAACTTTATATAGTAAAATAGAGGTCTACTACAGTAAATTGTACATTAAATAGTGAATATTCATTAAGAGTACTGGAATTATATCTTAAGAGCCTAATTACAAATTATTTATCAGGTTTTTATAGGATTTCCTCTTTTACATTAAACCAATAATTATTTAAAATAAAAATTAATCTTTTTTTAGTGGGTAATGTCTTAAGTAATTATGATTTAATTTTATTATGTTTGCCTCCAAAAAACATATTTTACTTCATTATAGATTTTTTTTTATAATAGTTTCAAATTAAATTATATTTACATTTTTTCACTGAAAATTGTTGAATAGCATTTTAAAATAAATAATTACCTTTTTTATACTTATTTTAAAATTTTTATTTTCTATTTTTATAATAAATTTATCAAATCTTAGTAGAGGTAATGCTCTCTATGATATAATAAGTTAACTATTAGACTAATTGAGATCAGATTAGATAATTATCACTGTAGTGTTATTAAAAAAAATTATTTGAATATTCGTGGAGCCATGTTTTATTATTTTGAGGATACATAAAAAATTTACTAGAAATATTTTTTGAAAAATAAATAAATTCTTGATTTTGATAAGTTTTGTGTTATGTAATCACAATGATGAAAAAAATTATAAAGAATTCTTTAATTAATAATTTGGATATTTTTCTTACTGTTAGTACCTATTTGATTATTCTGTTTTATTTAATGTTATTTAGTCAATATTTAAAATATTTATTTACAATATTGTATGTAAAACCAATGATGTTTTTATGACAATGGTGATGTGGCAGTTACATTCTTCTTTAACTGACAAAAAACGTGATGAAACTAATATTAATTTCATTGGAATACGTGAAGGAAAAGTTTATTTATCTAAGTTTTCGAAGGCAAAATTCTTATTTTCTATGACCTTACCTTATATTATTATAAAAATTATTATCTCTAAAATTTTTAAATTAAAAATATGACTAAAAAAATATTGTATTACTATTAACTATTTTAATATGTACTATGGACTAAAAATAATTGAACTTTTAAATTTCACGTTTGGTTCCCTTTTAGTATAATATGGAGTATACATTTTCTAAAAGATTATCACAGTTAACAGAAAAGCAACTTGAATTAATGAAAAAAAAATTACCCCAAAAAAAACCAATCAAAGGAGTAGACAATATCATATTAGTAGCATCGGGCAAAGGTGGTGTTGGTAAATCTACAGTTTCTGGTAATTTTATAAGATTATTTTTAAATTAGAATATTTTTTAAAATTTATATTGTTTTAGTGAACCTCGCAACTGCTTTAAAATGTATAGCTCCTGATAAGGAAATTGGTTTATTAGATGCAGATGTTTTCGGACCATGTATACCACTTATGATGAATTTACAAGAAACACCTTTGCTAAACGATCGTATGTAATATTTATCTCATAAAACTCATTTTGAATTTTTTAAAACATAGTAAACTAAGACTAAATATTAGCTTTGTTATTTTAATTTCCTTTTGTTTAAAAAGTCAGAACTCTTAATATCAACTTAAATATCACAAACTATCATTTTTTATATTTGTTGTAGAAAATTTAATGATACCTCTTGTGAACTATGGAGTAAAATGGTAAATTAATCAAATTAATCAATTAGAAACAGATCTAATATTCCTGGTTATAGTATGTCAATGGGTAACCTGATTACAAATAATTCAGCAGCAATTTGGCGTGGATTAATGGTTATGAGTGCAATTGAAAAATTGATTAGAGGTGTCGATTGGGACCATACTGATTATTTAATAGTTGATACACCACCTGGTACTGGAGATACTCATCTATCACTTGCTCAAAATCTTCCTTTAAAAGGTACATAGATATCCAATAACTTTTGATCCAATAATCATTTTGCTGTACATTTTTTTAAAAAATTGTTTGCATTTTTAAACTGTCATAAACATATTTTTAATTATTTGTCTCTACTATGTATTTTTTTCTTAAAAATATTATTAAAAGTTATTGGATTTGTCATATCTTTGTAACTCATACTGAGTATACAGAGTGATTTATTAATTATACTCTTCATTTTTTAAATATTGATTTTTTCATAAAAATGTTTAAATTTAAATTTAATTTATTTTTATGGACTTTAGTAAATATTAAGTTTATTGTAGTGGAAATCTATTTTTTTTTTCTATTAAATAGAAAATGGTCTAAATAAAATTATTAATAATCGATAATCAGTTTTGTATTATTCATTTTTGAACTATTAGTACTATTAGCAACTATAAAGCTTTAGAGAAGGTGATTAGCAGGGTAGTGTTTAGCAACACTCTATTTTTACCATAACGCACGGATAAAAGTTTTTCCATACTGCTCACCTTATTTGCCTATAGTTAAAAATTATAATAACTCAAAAAGTAATAATACAATACTAGTTATTGATCTATCAACATTTATTTAGATCATTCTTTATTTAATGGTAAAATAATAGTAGATTCCTATTTAACTTTCGAAAATTACTTCTAAAATCTATCCTTAGAAATAATTTTTTCTTACAATAAATTTGATATTTATAATAATTTATTGTAAACTAAATTTTAATCTGTACATTTTTATGAAAAAATCATTATTTAATACAAAATAGGGGTAGTATGTTTAATAAGTCACTTTGTATATATAACAATGTTATAATAATAATTGTATTGGCTTTCTGGGTTTAGGAGTTTTGGTTGTTACAACTGGTCAGAAAGCTGCAGTCGATGTTACCACCAGAGGTATATCAATGTTTAGAAAATTGAATGTACCTATTATTGGACTTATAGATAATATGAGTGGATTGAAATGTACTAACTGTTCCCATATTAACAAATTATTTAGTAATACTATTCAAGAATTTGCTTTGAATGAAGGTAGTTTTATTCACTTATATTTATGTTCAAAGAATATTTATGTTTTATCTATGTATATCTAGGTATCAATTCATTGTTTTCTATACCTATGGAACAATCTATTATTGATTCTTGTGACAGTGGACAACCTGTTGTCATTTCTCATCCCAAATCAAAACAAGTAAATTTTTATTTAGAACCATTATATACTTATTGTGTTGCTGCTATATATATGTGCCACTTATGAATTTTTTGGTTACAGGCTGAAATATTTAAGACAATTGCTCAGTTTATCATAGATTGTGAAATTAATTGTATAAATAAAAAACCTGTTAATTAAGTTTATATTTTAAATTTTCAGATTAAAAATGTTTAAAAAAATTTATTTCATTTTTTTTTTTTTGTACTAGATTCTTTGTTAATAAGATATAGTGTTCAGTAAGTAAGAGATTGGGTTTATATTGTTCTCATTTGTAACAATACACTTGTTTCCCTTATTACTGAACACTATATATTTATGATAAGAGTAACTTCTGGATAGATAATTATAGTTAGTACCATTTAGTTGTACATTGTTCATATTTTAGTTAGATAATTATTAAGAATACTAAAGTGTAATTTTTTAACATAAACCTCATGATTAATTAAATATAATAATGTAGATAATTTTTTTTTGTTTTTAATTTCCATTTTTTTGTAAATTTAATAATCGTAAATAATTTAAGGAAACCCTTATAAAGCGTAAGGAGTTAATAAATAATTTACTTCATGACTTTAGAAAAGTATGTAATTAAAATACAAAAAAAAGTTAACAATATTATCATTTTTAATTTAGTAAGTGGTTAAAAGAATGATTAAGGAATCTTATTAAATATTTATATGTTATTTTTCATCCACTGCTTTTATAGAAGTTGATCATGTTTTTTTAAAAATAGTGGTGGTCCACTGTTAAGTTTAAAATTTATAAAACAGTATAATTTGTTGGTTGTGTGAGTAAATTATAACAAATCTATATTATATATATATATATATATTGTTTAGACTTATAAATTAGACTATAAAATAAGTCTGACATAACATTTTGTAAAAAAAAATATTTTTAAATAATAAAAATTAAAAATATTTGATATTTAGAACATTTTCTGAAATTTTACTGAGAGACGTGTACTTTAAACTTTTATTGTATAAAAATTTATGCTAGAATCATTCTAGCAATAAATGGGAATAATAAGTGTACTATTATCATTTATATATATATATATATATATTCAATTGATATTTATGTAGTATCAGTTGTATAGAAAATTTAAAATGTACCTCATTAATTTAAGACAAAGAGTACATATAGCTTTTGTAAAAAGATTTACAACATTTGGGACAAGATTTTTCTATACAATAATATATTTTTTAATACTTTATATATTTTCTATACAACTAAAATCATAGTTTTATTTCCAATTGTTATTTGAATACTGAAAATATTGAAATACTTAATACTGTTATATTAAGTATTTAAGTATAAATAACAAAACCTTGAAAATAAAATAGATTAGTTAAATTAAATTGTGAAAAAAAAAACTTAAAATTCAAGTGACTTTATTATGAAAATAATAAAAGCATCGATGGTTAAAATTCACAAGCAAAAGCAAATAAATAAATATATTATCATTCTCTTTGTTTACACTAATTTTCTAAATAAAAATAAAAATAAAAATAAAAAACAAATAATAGAATTACATATGTTATTAATGAAGTAGTTTTAATAAAAATCAAAAACGAATTTCGAAAAATTAAAATAAAAAATTCATTTTAGTTAAAGTTTTTAACACTCACAATAATAAAATAGTTTCATCTATGTAATGTTTATAATATAAAAGTTTCATTTATATTGCAAGTAAAACAATAATTTATAATATCTTAAGCTAAAAAATAGTTAGGTAAATATATTTATCATAATATAGAACTCTTTTAGTAGCTGTGTGCTTAATATACTAAAAATATTTAGTTTTGGAAAAGTGTTTTAGTGAATTCAATATAATCTAGTGCCCCAGTAATTGGTCGTTCAGTTTTAGAATCAACATATGGTTTCATACGGTTTACACAATAATCGGCCATGTCTTTAGTAAGATTCTAAAAAAAAGAAAATTTAAATATAAAAATGATTCATTAATTGATAAATTACATTAATTTTCTATTTAATATTTTATATCTTACAGCATATAACTCTTCTTTTGTGACATATGGTCGATCACCCGCTGTGATAGCTCTAAATGCATTTTCAATTTCTTCTGAACTTTGTACATTTTCTGTTTCTTTACTGATCATAAATGCCATATATTCTTGCAGTGATACATAGCCATCACGATTAGGGTCAACAACATCTTAAATAATATTTAGTAATGTCATTATCTATTATTAACTAAAATCACCAAATTTTTTACCTAAAATAGCTTCAAATTCTGGGTCTGGTTGTCCTTCTTCTACCATAGGTAAATCATAACCTAAAGCCCTTAGACAAGACTTAAATTCAGTCTTGTTTAATCTACCAGAACGATCTTTATCAAAGTGTTTAAACATCATTGAAAATTCTTTCAAGGCATCCTCACTGACTCCCGATTGGTTCCTTGCCTGAATTTGCTGTTCAAGGTTATGTTGCATTCGCATACCCAATTGATCTAATTGATCCCATTGCTGTGCTAGACCTACAGTGCTATGTTCAGTATATCTATTATCTAAAATCAAGTGTTCTTCAAGAATAGCACCAAGGTCTTCAATTTTTTTCAAATCTGATCGACGTGATCGAACTTCAGTAGCTTTTCGCTGAAGTTAAAAAATTAATTTAGTAAAAATATTTAAATAAACATAAAATATTTTATAATACTTTGATAGCTTCCAGTTGTTGCTCTAAAGATCCAGATCCTTCCATCATTGATGTTCTTAAAAATTGAAAATATACAGAAAAATTACATCATAAATAAAATAATAATAATAATAATTTTTTTATAATTCATAGTTAACTAAATTACCTAGTTTCAGTAAGCCATTGGTGGAATGTGTTAGCATGTTTTGCAAATTCTTTTCTTAATGTATCATTTTCATCTTGTCTTTGGGCTTCTTTAGTCAATTCAATATCTCGTTCTTTAATGATTTTTTGTAAATTACGCCATGTATCTTCTAAAGCTTCCATTGTAAACCATGTATATGGATTAGGACCCACATTAAAACTTTTGATTTGATGGTCTAAAGCAGCTAAAGCTTCAAAATCTGCTTGAGCTGATGTCAAAGAAGCCTAAGATAAAAATAAATACATTTTAATAGCTATTTTTATATAATATAAAATTAATCAAAATAATTACTTGGAATTGTGCATGAGCTTCTCGTAAAGCCTTTATTTCTTCAATAGAATTGCAGCGAACTGGATCTGTCAAATCTTCTTCAGCATTTTCAAACCATGAATTGAATGCAGATGCTTTCTTTGCAAATGTTAAATAGAGTTCTTCAATTTGGCGGAATTGATTTTGCATACGTAACAACTGTTGTTTTCTACCATCTGAATCGCCCAACAGTTTTTGCCATCTATATTAAGAATTTATTTAAGGTAAGATTTTTATATCTCATTTAATGTAACCTAAAATTATTTAATGATAAATTACCTAGCAATTACATCAGCATGTCTTTTTAATATTGCTTCAGATTGATCATGATTAGCAGCAATTAATTGATCTTTAAGAGAAGTAATGTTCTGTATTCCCTCATGTTCAAATGCATGAAGGCCTAAAATTTTTAAGTCATAATTATTATTTATTAAATAATACCTAAAAAGGCTATTGGTATAAATAATATACATAAAATTAAAAAGTAAAATAAATACACGTACAAAATAATTTATACAACTAAGATAAGTATAACTTGATTTTTAACATAGCTAAAGAATCATAAGGAAAACAAAAATTAGGAATAAAATGACATAAACATAACAAAATGGTTTAATTTTTTTTAGACTAAAATTTTACTTATGTTTAAGTAGATAAAATATGAATTTGTAGAAAGATCATAAAATCAGTCTGGTTTAAAATATAAAACTAATTTGTAATTAAATAACTTATGAAATTTAATAAAAATTGTATTAGTAATTAATTTTATCATATTTTTAAATATGGTTAACAATATTTTGTCACACCTGCATCAAATGTTTCTTGTTTAGTCAATAATGTTTGAACTGTGGACAAATCTCTACCATACTCTTCGGACCGTACATGAGTTTCTTTATCAGCAATCCATGACTCTACTACATCAGCTTTCCACATGAATTGCAAATAAGCTGAATTATCCATTAGCTTGGATTTTCGTTTAGCAGCCAAAGCAGATAAATTGTCCAACTTTATCTAAAAGCAAAAATAATTAATATTTTGATTAAAAAAAAAAATTGTTTCATAATTAATTTTTACTTGAAGTTGTTGGCAACGCTGCATAATACTATCTGCATGATGATTCTTGGAATCAGCAAGATCCATACCGCCATGGCTGATTTCTTCACATCTATCACGATGAACAGCAAAGTCAGTTTCAAAAGCATCATGCTTTTTCAAAAGCCCTTGAACTGCTGCCATAGTATCACCAAAATCTTCAACTGATAATAATTGGTGTTTTTCGCTGTAAAGTAAGAAAAATGTATTTGAGTTTTTTCACTACACCATTATATTATATAGTAAATTATTTACCTAATCCATGCTTCCTCTTCTTCAACTTTAGCTAAAAATTGTTGGTATGTTAATGATTCATCTAATTTTTTGCCTCTTGTTGAGGCCATTTGTTTCAATTCATCCCAAGCTTGGTTAAGTAATTTTAATCGCTATTTTTATGAATTAAAATTAATTTAAATTTTAATATGGTTTTAACTTTTTGATATTAATAAGCATTTTGCTCTTACTTGCTCTATCTCAGGAACACCTAAATTAGAAACATCCATTAACTTTTCACCAGCTTCTTGAACTGACTGAATAGCTGGTTCATGTGATGCCAATTCTGCTTCAAGTCGTTTGTGTTTCTTTTTTAAATTTTGAACACCTGTTAAATCTCGACCATAATCATCAGAGCCAACTAGTAGTTTTTTTTCTCTAAAAATAAAAAATAATTTTTTGTAGGAAACTTTTTATGTAGCACAATACAACAATAATATTTAATATAATTCAAATATAATTATCACTCACTTTATCCAAGATTCTTCATCAGCAATGTCTCTGAAGAACTGATGTAGAGTATTAGCTTCATTTAAACGAGCTTGTCGATGGGCAGCTAAATTCCTAATACGCTCATACCTTTCATTAATAGAACTACGCCGTTCTTGAATACTTCCAGTTTCAAATTGTCCACTTTCAATTAGAGAGTCAGCTTGTCCATTCATATCTGATATTTAAATATTATTTACTAATTCATACATATATAGCTTAAGATTACTTTTTATCAATTTATGAAGTTTTGCCATGATAAAATCAGAAAATGAAACTTAATTAAATTGAGAATGATTTTTAAGAAAACCAACTTCATTATTAATTGTAATAACACAAAATATTTTCCTGTGAAAGGGGTTAAGAATATTTTCATGGCCCCTTTTCTACCAGTCGTAAGAAAAATAAAGTTTTTGATACCAGCTGGACAACTTGTGTGGTAACTGTTTCACTAGTCATGTGTACAGGCTTACCTAATGATTGTAGTTCCAACAATGTAGGGACATCATCACTCAACTCTAGGCTGAATTTGTGAATAAGGGAGAGAGATAGATACATATTAAAAATAGTTACAAGGAATGTTAGAACATTAAGTGGTAGAAAATATTTAAGGGGAGGAAAATTAATATTTGTTGTGTGCAGAAAACTAAGTGAAAGGGAGAGAAAGAAAGGAAAATAGGTGAGGTTTATAAAATAATAAATTCAGTTAAGACCAATTTAATGGATGAAGAGATGAAAAATAAAGTAAAAGTAGTTAAGAAAAGTGATACAATTAATCATAAAATTAATTTTTGAGGAAAGTGTTGCATATAACAAGTGCCCATGAGAGGATATGAATGAGTACACATAGGGTATAGATTTAGTGGGAAGAATGAAGCTGGAGAAAGAATTCTGGATTTTACAGTATTGTATGATCTTGTTGGAGTTAATAGTTATTTTAGAAAGAGGGAAGAACATTATATAACTTATAAGAGTGGGAGTGCTAGATCATAGATTGATTATTTTATGTGAAAGAGAAAGTACATAAAGCAAGTAAAAGATTGTAAAGTTATCACAGGAGTGTAACTTCACAACATAGACTAATGGTAATAGAGTTGTGGTGAAGTGGAAAGAGAGTATGCAAAAACAGAAAGAAAATAGGAGGAGAATCAAGGGTCCAGTGGTGAAAATTGAAAGGGGAAAATGAAAAAGAGTTTTGAAAGCCGGTTGGGTTAACTGCAAAGAAGATTACAAGTGAAAGCAAGAGTAGAATGCCAGGAAAAAAGGAAACCGGGTGATGTGAAAAAGACATTCAGAAAATCATAAAGAGTAAAAAAAAGTAATTCAAAATATAACAGAAGAGCAAAAGGAGAGATTATTATAAAAAGAAGATTATTATTATTTAAAGTTACTCCTCCTACATAAGAGTGTGTGAGGAGTAATAGAAGAGTTTAGGGTAATATTAGGAGTGCACTAAGGTTCTGCTATAAGCCCTTACTTATTTTCTATAATGATGGATGAAATTACTAAAGAAATACAAGGAGGGTACCATGGTGCATGTTTTTCGCTGATGATTTAGTGTTAATAGGGGGGAAATTAATCAAAGGCTAGAGGTGTGGAAATCAGCTCTTAAAGGTAAGGAATTAAAAATAAGTAGGAGTAAGACAGAGTATATAGAGTACAAGTTTGACAAAGGAGAATACGAGGTAGGTGAAATGAGATCAGTGACATTAAGTGAGGATGTGATAGAAAATGTGGAAAGTTATAAGTATTTATGATCAGTTATGCAAGAAAATGGTGTTATTGACGTGGATGTAAGACACAGAATTAAGTGCGTGTGGGTAAAGTAAAGAAAAACGTCTGGTGTGTTATGCGATAAGAGAATCCCAATAAGGCTAAATAGAAAGTTCTATAAGACTAGTGAGACCAGCTATGATGTATGGTTCAGAATGTTGAGCGGTTGACAAAAGAGTAGAGCAGAGAATGAGTGTAGTAGAGATGAAAATGCTTGGATGAGTGATGTGACTAGAGAAGATATAATAAGAAATGACCATATAAGAGGTAGTATAGATGTAATATCAATTGTGCATACGATGAGAGAAAATAGACTTAGATGGTTTGGTCATGTTATGAAGAGAAAGAAATGCAAAGCTGTGAGAACAGTTATGGAAATGAATGTAGAAAGAAGAGGTAGAGGAAGACTAAAAGAGATGGAGGAATGTTATTAAATGAGATATGAGAACAGAATGATTGTGCATATATGATGTGGGAGATTGTGTCATATGGAAGTTTAGTATAAAAGTAGCTGACACCAAGTAGTTGGGATAATGACAAGGAAAAAGAAGAAAAATAGCACAAAATATATGAAGGTAAGTTCAGTAGACTTATTTAAAAACAAAAAATATTATAAAGTTGTTATGCAGGGTCAATAATTTAATAGTAGTAGGGAGATGGAATTATATATTAATTATAACTAAGATTATTTTATACCTCTTATGCGGTCTTCATGAGCTTGGATATCAGCTTCAACAAGTTGATGCTTTTTAATTAAATTTTGAACAGATGCCAAATCTTTTCCAGAATCTTCTGAAGTTAAAAGAGATTCGACTTCACCAAGCCAGAAGTCCAAGTCCTTAACAGCTGCAATGTAAGTACGTTGTTTATTTGCTTCTTTTAATTTTAAAGATTTTTCAGTAGTTTTTTGAGTTAAGTATTCCCATTGATCAGCAATAGAGCCTAATCTTGACTGAAAATTAATGAATTTAGTAATTGAAATTAAAAAAATATATTTCTATACTTTAAATACCTGGACAGCTTCTTCAGATCCAGCACATTGATGTTTATCAATTAAATTTTGTCCCATACCTAATACACTTTGAATACGATCAGCATTAGCAGCTAACTCTGCTTCAAATGCTTGGTGCTTTTGATGTTTAGATTGAATGTTTGCAGGATCTTTGTAACTTTCTTCAGTTGCCAATTGAAGTTTCTCAGCTATCCAATTTTCAATTTCATCTGCATCTCTACTGAATTGTTGTAATGTTTGTGATTCTCCAAGTTTAGATCTCTTTTCAATTAAAGCTTCTTTCAAATGACGCCATCTATTTAATACTTGTTGTCTTTTTTCATCAATTGGAGTAGCAGCATAGTGCTGTGCAGCCATAAGTTGATCTGCTAATGTTTGTAATGCAGCAATTTTCTCTTCCTAAACATAAATTATTAATTATAAAAACTATTTAAATTAATAGATAAAATTATTTACATGGGCATTAATAGCTTTATCAAAATCTTCATGTTTTTTAATTAAAGCCTCGACATTATCTCCTTTTGAATCAACTTCCTCTGAAGCAAGAAAAGCTTCACGAGCTGACATCCAATTTTCAGCTTGTTCACAATCTCTATAGAACAATTGCAGTTCCAAACACTGATCTAACTTCATACGACGGTTAATCCATGCTCTGATAATATAATATTATAGGGTTAATAAATATATTAAATAAAAATATTTAATTATAATTCTACGACATACTCTTCTAACTCTTGTCTTGCTTCAGTCATGCTTTCAAGTTTTTCTTGGATTTCTACACTAGCATAATGTTGAGATTGAAGTAACTGTTGACCAAACATCTCAAATGTTTGAAATGTACCAGTACGTGCATCAATTTCTGTGCGATGTTCCTTTAAAAATATATTTTTTCATTATTAACAATTTTTATAAAAATACATGATAAATATACATATAAAAGTGAACAAGTGAAAATAAAATATTCATAAAACAGATAATAATTGTTCAATTATATTTATATACAGTGATTGTTTAATTATGACTTACGTAATATCTTTAAAAATATAAAATATAAAAAATTTTTTTTTCAGAAGTTAATAGTATTTTTAATTTTATAATAATTATAAAACTTAAACTACTATTAACTTTTTTTTTTTTTAATTATTTTCAAGAAATTTGTTTCTATCCCTTTTCTTTAAATTTCAACTTTAGTTTTATAAATGGAAACACATATGGTTTAACAAACTTAACAACTAGAAAATTATGTAAGGTAATTATAAGGTAAGACCTTTTGGGATAGAATTTTAAAAGATATTAGCATTTCAAATCTAGACCAGAAGGAGTAGTAAGGTTCTAGAGATAAAAAAACTGACACATGTTTCACTTTCAGTCTTTATTTAAAAATAACTTCAGAAATACTGGTCAAAAAGTTGTTTTTGACTAGTCATTTTCTTAGATAGATAATTATCTAGTTTGTAAGTTGGTTAAACATACTAAACAGAAATATGTTTCTGTTGGAAAAACTTAGGTTGATAAAATTTTAAAGGGGAAAGTGGGGATGGAAACAAATTTATTTTGAAAATTATAGAACATAAGATACTATTAAATTCAATATAATTAAATATTGTGCGAGTCATAGTTAAACAATCTCCCTGTATGCTAGTAAAAATTAGTAATAAAATTCAAACAAGTTTAAGTTTGCAAGTGAAATTAATAGCCTAAAATATTTTATTAGTATACATAAATTATTATTTATAAAAACTCAAAATTATAAACATTTAAGACAAAATCTGTTATTTAAAATTGTTTGGTTAAGAAATAAAAGAAGTAAATAATTATATTAATTTGTTAGGACTAAAACTGCTGTTAAATAATAGAAAATTTACTTCTACTAAATGATTTCATCAAACTTTAAGCTTATAAAAATATTTTTTAAAATTTAATATAATAAAAAAAAAAATTTCTTTTAGGTATCAGTTCAAATAAAAATACTTTTATTATAAAAATCTCAACAAAATGTTTTTTCTATAATAAATTTTTATTTATTTACATATAAATTTAACTAATAATGTTTAATAATCTTATAATGTAGTATTATAATAAGTTGTTCAAAATTTTAAATAATTTTTGAATTATATCATTAAAAAAGTGTTAAAAATAAGTATAATCTTTTATGTGAGAACAAAACACAAAAAAATTCAAAGTGTCAAAGAAGAAGTGCAAATTTCAGTGGCATTTAATCAAAACCAATACTTTTCTCTATACCTGAGCTATACCATAACGATAGTCTATTTCTGCTCTCAAACTCTACAAAAACCATATGAGAAAATAATATGTAAATAGTTTAAATAAATAATTTGATAATAATTGCAAACTGACATATTTTTAAAAATAAAAATAAATAAATATAATAAGAACTAGTAATATTAGTTACAGTAACTGAAAAATCTACCTGATGACGTTCTAATAATGCTTCAGCACCTGTAACATCTGAAGCTAGTTCATCGCTGGAAACTAATCCCATCATTGAATTAATCCATGACATTAAGTCACGATAATCAGCCAAAAATCTTTGTAAATCATAAGAGTCCAAAAGTTTTTCTTTTCTTGAATTAGCTTTTACAGTTAGTTGTGTCCATTCTTCATTTATTTCTTTTTGTTTCATGTAAGTATTATCTCGAGATTCAGGATGAGTGTTCATTAAACGGTTAGCAGTTTCATCTAATTGGCGAATCTAGTAAGCCAATATTAATATTTCAATTAATGTTATTATGTAATATCTACAAAATATTAAACTACCTTATCTTGTAAAGCAGCTAAATCTCGTTCAAGGCCTTCGTGTTTACGTTGCAAAGCTTGTACACTTCTTAAATCTTTTCCAAGATCATCATTATTAAGAGCGTCATCTTTTTCTCGAATCCAATCACGAGTTTCATCAACATCTCTATGGAATCTTTGTACTTCGTGAGCTGAACCTAATTGTGTAGCTCGGGCTTGAGTAAGTTGTTGAAGTGATGTCCATTTTTCATTCAAGTCCTTAATAAATATTTAAATAGTTAATATAAAAATAATTATTTTACAGTTGAAATCATAATTAAGTATACTGACCTGAATTTGAGTATTGATTTTTAATGCTGCTTCTGTTTGACCTAAACTCATCAATTGCATGGCTATTTCGTTCATTTCCGCTAAACGTACTTCATTGGCTTTTAAATCTGATTGGAAATCATCAAATTTCTTTTGCATTACTTCCACTTGTTCTAAATCTTCTCCGACATCTTGAACTTGTGCATGGTTTTCCTATAGACAAGAAATATTTTCAATAAATTTTATTAATAAGTAAATTATAAATCTATATTTAAAACAAACCTTGTCTTTAATCCAAGTTGCTAACTCAGCAGCTTCTCTCACCAATACATACGCTTTAACAGTTTCAGCAAGTTTAGTTTGACGTTCTTTAGCCAAATTCAGTAATCTATTATACTGGGCTTCAATTTGTGCTTGTCTAGCAGCAATTGATCCACCAGTAGCTAAATGTTGCTGAGATGCACTTAAACCAGATACTTCAAGACGTTTAACATATGGAGCAGGCACAAATCCTTGACGATCATTTACTTCTACTTTCCACCATTCCTAATAATTTAAATTTTATATAGAAAATGTTTAAAAATTCCTAAATTTTAAATTATTATAAGTATATACTTTGTTATTAGAATTTAATAGAATCAAAACATCTCCTTTTTTCATTGAAACTTCTCTTGGAGATTTTTCAGTATAATCAAATAGAGCCATAACACATTCTTTTCCACTTACATCAACAACAGGCGTTTCTTGTTGCTAAAAATAATCAATTAAATTTAATTTAATTACATAAAATACTATATTTTTATAAATTACCCTGCAAGCAGCAGCTTGTTCAGAAAGTGATTCAACTGTTGTCTTAAATGCTTCTAAATCAGACAATAATGCTTCATGTTTTTTTAACAATGCTTCAGAAGAGTCTTCATCTCTTCCATAATCTTGACTTAGAACCATTGGTTCTTTTTCTTTAACCCAAGATTCTGCTTCATTAGCGTCAGCAAAGTACTGATGCGCTTGAAGAGAATCTTCTAAGTCTTGTTTACGCTGAAATCAATAAAACAATTCAATTAAAGCTCTTTATATTGTAAACTTAAAAAAAAGAATAACATTAATACCTGTAAGGCTTTTTCTTTAAGATGATTCCAATGTTTATTAAGATGAGCTAAGCGTTGTTTAATATCTTCAGATGCAAAGTGTTTACCATCTATCATTTCTTGACCAGCTTGTGTTACGCTTACTATTCGAGATTCATGGTTATTAATTTCAGCTACAACAGCTTGATGTTTTTTCATTAAATTTTGAACACCAATTAAGTCTCGACCTAAAAAAAATATATTAAAAAAAAGTATTTTTTTTTTAAACAAATAAAATATCTTAATAAATAAATTATGAAAACTAAAATGGCTCAATAAGAATCTTTACCCTAATAATGTAAAGTTTTTAAATAATTAACTTAACTGTAATTTTATTTAAATTATAATTTATATTTATATCTACCTCTATTAGTTGAAGCAGCAACTGGTTCTTTTTCACGAATCCAAGCTTCTTCATCTTCAATATCTCTAAATAATTGTTGTGCAAGCAATGAATCAGCCAAACGCTGTCTTCGTGTTTCCATTGGATGTTTCAATGATGAATAACGATCACATAAAGCCCCCTACATTAAATATTAATTAACAGATTATAAAATTATATACAAATGAAAATAATTTATAAATTAAAATAGATTAATTTTATTAAAGATAATAACCTGCTTAGCACGTATATTATTAGCATCAAAGTGACCTGAATCAACAAACTGATCTGCTGTAATTTTGACACCTTCAATTCTATCTTGATGTGATGCTACATCAGCTTCTAACAAAGTATGTTTTTTTTGAAGATTTTGAACACTAGTTAGATCCTTAAAAATTGATAATGAAAAGATATTTTAATTTAAAAAGTAAAATTTAATAAATTTACTTTTCCATAATCTTCACTGTGTAATTGCCCTTCAACTTCAGACAACCATAGTTCAATATCTTCCACAGTACGATTAAATTGTTGCTGTTGCGCTGCTTCACGTAACTTTGAGCCTTTTTGACCAGAGGCAGTCACTAAATTTTCCCAAAGATGAACAATTTCATCCATTTTTGTTTGAATACGATCTGTCAAAATGAAATTAGCTTTAAATGTATTTCTAATTATACATCATTAATAAAATTACTTAAAGCATAGTGTTTTGACTCAATGAGCTCATGACCAGTAGAGGTTATTTCTTCCATGCGTGATTTATTAGCATTTAATTCTTGTTCAAAATTTTGATGTTTCTGTACTTTACCATTAAGGTTAGTTGGATCCTATAAGCATTTATTATATATTAGAAATGATATATTAAGATTTGAGCAGTAATAAAAACTAACAAGGTAGCTATCATCATTAGCAAATTTAAGTTTTTCATTGATCCATCCTTTAGTTTCATCACAATCTCTTTCAAATTGTTGAAGTCTGTATGAATCTTCTAAAACACTACGTCTTTGAGAAGATTTTTCAAGTAAAGCAGTACGTCTTTCTAATAACTAAATTTAAAAATATAATTTATCATTAACTCTTTTTAACGTTTTAAGTAGAATAAATATTTTTAAAAATATTAACTGATTCTCGTCGCTGTGCAACATCTTCTGTGGCATAATGTTGTTCTTCAATCAATTTAGTAGCAAACTCATCAAGAGCTTTAATTTTTTCTTCTTGAGCTGCTAAAGATTTTTCAAAATCTTCGTGTTTTTTAATTAAAGCTTCAACACTGTCTAATGAGTCACCCAAATCTTCATTGGATAAAAATGCCTATTCAATTTTTAATTCAATAAAAATATAATATATTTGAACATTTTTAAATTAACACATTTAAATTCTTTTACCTCTTGCTTGGCCATCCATGTATCAGCTTGTTCAGTGTCACGGTAGAATAATTGTAAGTCCATACATTGTTCATATAATATACGACGTTCTTCCCATAAAGCTAGTAATGAATTTTTTTCACTGGCTAAATTATTTAAATTTTCACTCACTGTAGAAGAAATATTTTCTCCTTTCAAAATATGTTCACCAGACTCCATTGCCATTCGAAAACTATCTTCTCGGGCATCAATTTCTCCCTAATTTAGGAAGATTATAAAGTAGTCGTATAATAACAAATAATAAAATAGTAATTATTAATAAAAAAGTAAAATAAAATAAATACAAATTATTAAAATCATCAATTTATTAATAATTTCATAAAATTATCGAACTAAAACAACTATTTTACTAACTTTATGTTCTTGATGTCTTTCTAATAAAGCTTCAGCACCAGCAACGTCTTTAGCTAATTCATCTGCATATATTATTGCTTTCATGTCATTGATCCAAGAAGTTAAATCACGATAATCAGCTAAAAACCTTTGGAGTAAGTAAGATTCATCTAATTTTTGTTTTCGCTCTTTAGCTTTAGCAGTAAGTTGTTCCCAGTAAGCAACAATTTCTCCCCTTTTGTTATGTATTTGTGTACTATGGTCAGCATGAATTCCACATAAACGATCTGCCTCTTGTCCTAATATTGATACTTTATCTTCTAAAGCTGCTAAATCTCTTTCAACTCCTTCGTGTTTTCTCTAAAATTAAAATTAATAAACAATAAATATAAATAAATAATTTTGGTTGAATATTTTTAAACCTGAAGTGTTTGAACACTAGCTAAATCTCTGCCATAATCTTCAGAAGATAAAATACCATCTTTTTCAGATATCCAAGCAACTGTTTCATCTGCATCACGATTAAATCTTTGAATTTCATGGGCCCCAAATAACCGTTCTTGTCTCATAAGTGTTAGTTGTTTGAGTCTTGTCCATGATTCGTTTAATTCCTTTAATAATTAGTTAGTAAGATATTTATACACTTTAATTGGTAAAACTCAAATAAGAACCTCTTTCTTCTTAAGAATAGTTTCTCTTTCAGGATGACCTTCTAATACTAATTTAGATGCTAAATCATTGACTTCAGTTACACGATATTCTTGTGATGTCATATCTTTTTGAAATTCATCAAATTTACGTTGTAAAACTTCTACATGTTCTAAATCAGCACCAAATTCATCCGTAGTTACAAAGGTTTCCTAAAAATACAAAAAACAATTCAACAAATAATAATTATTTGATATTGAAGTTACTAATAGTCATAATAATAGTTTGCTTGCCTTGTCATTAATCCAAAACATAACCTCATCACATTGTCTCAAAAATTGAACTAAAACAAGTGCTTGTTGTAATTTCACCCCTTTTTCAGCTAGTTTTGACAATAATAAATCCCAATCCTTATGTAATTGTTCTACAAAAATATATTAATAAAAATACTTAACAATTAGTATTTAAAATAAGCTAATAGACTAAATGTTACTGATATAATTGTATAAAAATATTATTAATTTACCAAGTCTCTGTTGAATTTCAGATGAAGCAAAATGGTTTTGATTAATCATTCCCATTCCGGTATTATCTAAGACAACAATAGCATTGCTATGAGCTGCTACTTCAGCTTCAAATGCTTGATGTTTTTGAATTTTAGCCTAGAAATTAAAAATAGATCATTACTTAAGTGTGAATAATATAAATATATTGTATAAAAATACATATATTAATAGTAACAACAAACCTGTAAATTTGTAGGATCTTTATAACTTTCATCAGATGCAGCTTGGGTTTTTTCAAGTATCCATGATTCCAACTCATCAGCATCACGTTTGAAATACTAAATTAAATTGATCAACAATTTATTAAATTTACTTAAAAATTATGAAATATAAGTACAATAGAATTTTAATATATTATTTCACCTGGAATCTTCTAGAGTCTTCAAGCTTTTCCCTTTTCAAACGTGCTTCAGCTTTAAATTCACTATATCGACCCAATACTTGTAAACGACGATTTTGAATATCCTCTGCTGTCTCAAGGATTGTTACTTCTTTTGGTATTAAAGGATCCATTTTGAGTTATTCTAAAAAAAATTAAATAATATTTAAGAATTAAAAATGTATGACACATTGAATTGTTTATATTATCTTTTGTAAAATCTTTACATTAAAAAAATAATAGAAAATTAAATGTTAAATATATAACATATAATTAATATGAATATCAATTCATGTAAGGTTATCTAAATAACTTGATGTATTTTATAGATTTGATAATAAAGATGGAACTTTGGAATAAGGTCACAAACTATATTTCAAACACAACAAATATGTACTAATATTACAATTGATCTTCAAAACGAAAAATCCAATTTTAATTCAATAGAAATAATTTGATAAAAGAGGATTCATTAATTTTAATTCACTAGTCATGTATTTAAAGTTATTTTAATTTAACAACTACAGTTGGTTACTTCAGATAGTAAAAATAAAATACAAACATACATTATTTAAAAGTATAAAAAATTTAAAATTCAAAATTAAATTTAATTAACTAGTGCAAAGTAAAACTTAATTTGTCAAACATATGCAGTTTATTAATTTAAGTAATCATAAATTATAATTTTTATTATAACTACTCAATTATTAGTTGTACTAAAAATAGTTTCCTAACCTTCATAGTCCTACACTTAAAAAATATGCCAGTTAGATGACTAAACAAATATTTTTCAATTAATTTTTAAATATTAAATAATTTATTGCTTAATAAATATGAATATAAATATCATCTAGAAAAAAATATAAAAATTATTTATTTTTACAAAAACTAATCACAAAATTAGCAAAATAGCCCTAGTATATAACAAATATCAGAAGTAAACAATCTCTTCACAATATCAAATTTGAAAATGGATATAAAATTTTTCTCTTTTGAATCAAAGCTTAATTAAAAATATTATTGGGTGTGGTTATAAAAATAGTACACTTAGCTGTCATTCAAATAAATATAAATAAATGTACATAGAAATTTAAACTAACCTCGTTTGCAATATATCGCTTACGAGTTGTGTTGTGTTTTAAATACGAATTCTCATTTCATGCACACAATTTGAATTTACTGACACAAATAATAGCAATACACTATTTAAGAAAAATGATATTAAGTATATTGGTAAACAAATTCCGCTCAATATACTATAACCCAGAGCGAATCGGTCATTTGGAATGCGAAGAGTACCGGGGGGTGCCAGATGAAAACCCCCTCCTACATAGTATGACTAATGCATAAGAATACCAAAACCAGTGCAACCAAATTGTTAAATATTTTTATTAGACTGGTTTTCAATTTGACAGTGATTCAAATATTAATCTATTTCAAAATTCTGCCTTGTAATTTTATGACAGTTAAAATTTGTTGAAATCATAAAATAAATTTATTTCTATTAAAAATTTGTTTTGAATAAAACTATTTTATCTTTTATTTTTGAATGTCAATATAGCAAATATTTTGACTTATAAGTGGACACACCTATCTAAAATCAAAAAATATTGCCTCCTTATGTTATCATAATTCAAAACAATCAACAACAAAAAACTCCACAATTTTTAATAAGTGTAATCAACGGATTGCTGTAATTGTACATGTTTTAATTAATGCAACTGTGCTGTTATTAGGTTTTTAAAAACTCATCTTAAAATGTATTAACACTCTTATTCATACTTCTAAAATTTTTTTTAGTTAAATACCATAATGAGTAATCAAAGTTCGGCTGCAAAAGTAATTAAATTTTTTCTTTGAGTTTATCTCTTACTTAAATATTGGATTTGATAAATAGTTATTTTTTAATAAAATTTAGGTAGGTGAAATATTCAGTGCAGCAGGTACAGCTTTTAGTAGATTAGGTGAATTAACATTGACACTACAACCAACAAATGACACCCCTACACCAAACAGGTAATTATATTTAATATTAGTTTTAACAATAATACTTCATTAATTTCTTATTAAATATTTTATAATAATTAACAATATTTTAACTTTAGTAAGTGGACAGATGAAGATATTGAAATGTTGCAAAATGCAGTAAAAAAGTTTACTGAAGATTTAGCTGTAATATGTGACCAAATCAAACAACGCACAGTGTAATTATGTTGTAATTAATTATTTTAAACAATTGTTGATTTTTTTTAATACTAAGTAATTAATATGTATTGTTATTTGGTCATTTAACAATAGGAAAGTGATATTTTCTAATTTAATTTTATATATTTTATTGCTTTTGTTATGTTAATTTTATTGTAATATTTGTGTGATATTAAATTTCATTTTTAAGAAAATAGTAGTGTCTTACATTTGTCTTTCTTCCAACTTATAAATTAAACTTTCTAGATCACAAATTCATTCAACATTGAAAAGGAAATCATATGAAAGCAGAAATATGAATCCTACAGCAATTTCAAGATCTCATTTAACTCATATTTCATCACCAATTACAACAAATATAATAAACACAAAATGCAATTCTGCTGAAGTGACTCTAAACATGTTAAATGCTCCTCAAGAACATGGCTCTGGTTCTGATGATTTGTCTAATGACACTATACGACATAATTTTAATTGTGATATTGATATGAAGTAAAATAACCTAAATGTATAAATTTTATGATTGAAATTAAGTTATTGTAAAATTATTAATAGTTTAAATTACTAATTTGATGCTTGTGTTCATTGGTCTCTTATTTATTTTTACCAACTTATTATTATTTTATACTTGTATAAAATTAGACTTTTATTTTTATACTTAATTTAATTTATACATACTATTTGTTTTTATGTCTAAGCTTTAACCTGTAGACATTGAATTATATAGTAATTATTAAGATTTTGTAAGAACGTAATAATTATGTAATAAGAATTGTTTTTATTAATATCCTTAAATTTTTTATGTATTATGATACGAGTCTTAATAATTTTTATATTTAGACATTAAATCAAAGTTAAGAATGTAAATTTTAATTGCTATCATACATCATTAACATAATATTTATTTAAAAATCAAACATTGCTTAAAAAAACGTTTAATATATTTCAAGTTATTTTTCTCAAAGAAGCTAGATTTATATCTTAGTCAACGGAAATAAAGTGAATTTTAATTAAATTAGGAATTATCCATAATTAGTTTAGCCTAATGGCATAATTAAGTAATGATTGTTTATTCAATAAATAATTCATTATATTCTTATTTACTTCACTTGTTATTCAAATAATATTTTAGTTACTTCTATTACAGTTCAAGACAAGTTATATTATTTAGTTCATGACTTACTGTGTCAAAAATTTAGTAAAATATTAGTCTATAAAATTAAATAATTAAAAATATTAATACGAGTATAGAATAAATAATATTGTTTGTGTGAAAAATTTTAATTTAATAAAATTAATTTTTTTTTAAATATTTTTAAGAAGACAGTGACCATCAAATGATTTTTGGAAAGGAATAAAAGTCATGTATAATAAGCAACTTCAGTGAAATCTATAACCTCACACCTAGAACTCTTTTTTTTTTTTTTTTTTTTCATGTCTATCATTCAAAATTATTCAAAAAGGCTTTGTCAATGAGAGGAGATATATTCCCTCGTTTGACAACTAATCGAAAGTGGCCAAAAAGAATTGTATGAAAAATGATTCACAAGTCCGAAATTTTCTTCTGACTACTTGTCTAATATTAATCTTCAGTTAATATTATTACGATCCACTAGCGTATTACAAAGGGGAGATATGGATGTCAAATCCTATAAAAAATAATTATATGACAAAGATTTTTTTTCTTGGGAGAAGGCAAGTTAACGGTAGCAGTTATTGTCACACAAACCACTTTTTGGAAATCGTGCTTAATATATTAAATCTATTACAGTAAAAATAATTTTTTTATATTTGAATTAATTGTTAGATTTTTTGAAGAAATCCACGGCTATCATATAATGGCCAATGGTGGAGTAATGAGGGAATCGTAGTCCCTAAGTTTTTTAAGCTTCCTTAAATTTAGTGCTACTAATAAATCATGTGATTTTGATTTTTAAAAATGTTTTCTTCTAATTCGATTACAAAAATCTTAAAATTATTATAAATTACAAAATGTGTCAGACTTGATATAATTATTACTTTGTTCATACCCTTTTTTTTTTTTAATAATTATTGCCTACGTTATAATCATAGACTACGTTTAAAGTATACTTTTAATTATTTATCATTAATACAAAAAAAAAATTGATGTCAATTCATCTATATATTTGTAACATCGAGTTACAAATATTTAAATATATAAAATGGGTATGGAACACGGCTGAAGTATACATACAACAGTATGAACTGCAATAACCTAGACTACATGCCCTCTATATATTACAATATTTGTAATTCAATGAGTATTTTTCCTAAAATTGTCATCGACCCACCAAAATTTTTGATAAAAAAAAATGTTAAAAATAGCTATTTTGAATTTTAAAAAATTTGAAAAAAAAATTTTGTTATTAGTAATAAATAATTTAAAATTTGCTTTAAACGTAGTTTAGTAATAAATTATTATTAAACATATAAAAAGAGCGATGAATGTACACTTGGGTGATATGGGAACGAAGCTCCCTACGCTTATTTATATGAAAAATATTAACTTCCATTAAATTTGAATTTTTTTCGCCTATGTTATTGAATTTAGATACTTAAAGACTTTGTGATGATTATTTCAGAACTTAAAAAGGCTCTATAATATGTTTAAGTTGAAATTTTCCAAAAACTGAGGAATTTCCAATAATTGGTGCTGTTACCTTAATGAAAATTTTTCTTATTTATACCTCCTGGACAAAATCCTTGAATTTTGAAAAATGAGTTTACGTGTACTAACTTGTACATCAACACTGAGATAGGAAAATAGAACCCGAGATTTTTACATAAGGTGCCTTCGATGACCTTTTTTTACCTCATCAACTTTCTTTAGACTTTTACTCTTTAAAAAATACTCCTCGGTGACACATTTACGAAAGAAATCTAAATCCCAAGTTATAAAGGATTAGAGATAGTTTTTATAAAAAGTGCTCTCTAAAAGACGCCTTTTTTGAGCGCCATCTTTGTATTTAAAGCCAATTTAAAATTATTTAAGAAATTAAATGAACTTAACACAGAAAACAATTTGTATATTGTTATTAGTTGCGAAATCATAGTATTATAATTACCTAGAAATGACTATATTTGTCATAAAATATAGCTCCAAATAAAAGGGGCCTATCGAGATATTCTTGGTAGCCCTTCTAGCCTATCCAGGCCTATTGCACACCCTTAGCGCCTACTTATAATTTCCCTAAAATAAACTTAACAGTAGACTTGTTGTGTTTATCATACAGTATAAACAATCCTCATTTAAACATTTTGTTTTGGACCGCATTGAAGTGTCCCACGTTTATATAACTGAATTATACATAGTGATCTATAAACCTTCTTATTAATAAAAAATAAAAATGATAAAACATACATAATTAACTAGCGTATTTAGTAAATAATGATCTAATTAAAAAATACAACAGTTTGATAACAACAACTTTTAGATCGATATTTCAGAAATAATTAATATTTTTTATAAGTAGGCAAGAGAAATGGGCCGAATAATGTCTATTGATAAAAATAGAAACACCTGCGCCTCACCTCTAATCATTACTTTATATAGTTAATAATTTTATTGAAATATCTAAATAATTAAACTTTAAAGGAAAAAATAAACTCTTAAGTAGTAAAGCTTGTATGTAAGTACCATAGAATATATGTAGATACATTAGTAACTTCATCGACATAATTTACAGTAGAGCCCAACACGGTGTTGGGATAATCCAATCCGAAATTTTGTCTATCCCGAAGTCGAATTAGATTGGATTCGACCAGAACTTTTCTACTTGGTTGGACCATCGAACTTTTGAAAAAATTATAAAATTGGATCCGGTCAAGTTCGGACTAACCATAATGTTTTTTGGATTTGATCGGGGTAACAAAATTTTATAACAAATTTGTGTGATCCGAAAATCGACCAAATCCTTTAAAATATTTAATTGGATCGGATCAAGTTCGGGTCTGTCGTAAAATTATTTGGGATTGAAACGAACTATCACATTAACTAGGACAGCCCGAAAATAAGGTTAGGTCAAATAAAATTGAGTAACACAAAAATACTTTAAAAAAATTTCAGGGATGTTACACAGACAATCAAAAAATGTTTATCGACACTCCCGGTTTATTACTGAAGAATCGTAATAATATAACTAGATATAAAATGAGCATTTTAACTAAAATATTGAAGGAGGTGAACGCCTGTTTTAACATTTTTGCACAATGATGATAATAGAATCACCACTATGCAGGAAGTGTTAACCAGATGAAAAAGACTCATTTCATTTTTTGTGTGAATGTGATGTTCTGTGATTCGTTTGGAAGTTTTTCCCTAAAAAACAGGATATAAAAAACCCTAAAACCCAACAAGATACTTATCTCAACAGATAAACAGAACTCTTTGAATGTATCCATATAGAGAGGATCGCTTAATAAGACACTATACATGTATAGAGTAAGGTATACTAAACAATCACAACAAAACATCGGTGGAAAAACTTAGATGAAGAAGCTGAATTACTATAAATCGGTGTGTAGTACGCACAATGACCTACAAATCTGAGTTCATGGTCAGTTGTTTCCCACTTTTATAATAACTAAAACTAAATCTAAACTTGGGTTGCTGATTTTTCTCCACTGTATGTTTAGGTAGCTCACTAAAAATTTCATAAATAGTTAAAATACATATAGATGCAGAAAAAAATTATTGGATATCAAAGACACGTGTATACTACGATTGAGACTTGGCTATTGCACTTAATACTTGGCACAATTGTTTATACAATCATTATTATGGTAAAAGTATAAATTTCGTAAAGTATTGAAATAAAATTGTAAAATTTTCTTTATATTTTGGTGTATATTAATTCACTAAAAACAATATTTTTAAGTGCTTATTATTACACTTAAAATAACAATTTTTATTATTATACATTATGAGACCCGAGCATAATACAAAATATATGATCATTATATTTATATAATGTATTTATAGGTCTTCTGCATTTTTTAAACTACACCTAAAACTTTTTCATATGTTTCATTGTTTTAAAAAAAATTCAAGTTATAAAAATGTATGTAACTCAATGAGTACTAATCCTAATGTTAATAAAATAAAAAATGGCTGATCATAATGACTAGTTTATTTAATATGTAATTAAAATACAAAGAACTTCGCACAATGAGGTCGCGCACAGTAGGATCGAAGCATAGTTAGGCGAGTATAAATGATGCCTGACAGTGATTCACATCATTATTATAAAAAAACGCTTCGACGCGAATCTGTTAAAGTTATCAATAATTTGTAATTTTGTAATTTTATAATGGCGATGTTCTAAAATTTCAATAAAATATTAAAAGCTTGTTAAATTATTTGTTACAATTTTTATCACATAATATGCATTAAAAATTCATATAGCCATAGGAACATTTCCAAAAATTGAAAATAACGTAATTTTTTCTTGTAAAAATTATGATTTTTTTACTTTAACGTCTAATTTTTCATAGCAGAACAATTGTCAGGAAAATTTTTTTTTTTAATTTTGTAGTATACTTAAAGATTTTTAATTTGATTTCGGTTATATGTTATCAGTTGTGTCCGGTTCATTTTTAAAAATACAGTTGAAAATTTTCTTTTTAACATGCGTGGGTTGTCTGTTTCAAACCCTTTCTGTAGATAGATTTTTTATTGGATTGCCATAAGAAGGATAGAGCAAATGAACCAAAAGAAAACTTATTGTCTCTATTATTGTCATATACTGGTATACCAGTATACTTAACTAAAATTTTATTAGGATTAGTGTTTTTTTAAAAAATTATATAGCAGTATTAAAATACAGAAGAAATATTTTGTAAATGTATTTTTACGGTAGCGTAATTTTATGGTTATTTTTAAAATTGAAGGGATTTTTTCAATTTTTAGCGACAATAAGTTAAAATCAGATTGTTTTGACGTATTAATCATTAAAATTGATCTAGTGAATGCTGAGAATTTTCATGGAAGTACATAAAAAATACACAAAGACATCACAAAATTAATATCTTCTCAGCTCCGTATGAAAGTTAAAAATTAGTTTAATTTTTATCAATTTTCTTGTAATAAGGTTTTTTAAGTTTTTTTACTTTTACTCCAAAAAGTGCACTTTCATCTGAAACATTTTTCTTAGTGTACTTATCTTTATTTTAGCTTCAAGATTAAGCATTATAGGTATTTATATCTTAAAAAATTATAAAGACATATTTAAATTCCTTTCTATTTGAGTTTTAAAAACAAGATTTTTATATTTCAATGTCTCGTTTTTACTCATTTATTTGTCAAAAATGAAGGATTCCACTTAGATATAACGTTATAATATTGCTGAAACATTGTTTATTACAATTGACAAAATTCTGGATTTGGACATGAATTTTATCTAGTTAACTTAATAGAGTCAAAAATTTGATAACTTTTAAAATTTAATATGACATATATTGAGTATAGGAAAGTTTAAATAAAAAAGTAAAATTAATTAAATTCAAAAATAATAAGTTAAATTAGACGGTGCACGGGTAAAGTCTATTTCTTTTCGATGTGAAGTTGTAAAAGTTTTCCCTTAAGTGCATTAATGATTGACAAACAGCAAAAAATCATTGTATAAACTATGTGCACTAAATGGGAGAATAAAATTTAACATCGGGAGTGCTGGTTCATTTGGTTGGTAACCCTTGTGTACGTATTGTATAATATGCACATGCAACGATCCTGGGAAACGCCTAGTGTATAATATTCCCTCCCATCTACGACGGGGGACCAGGGGTGATGGGTGTTAGAAGTGGTTAGGTACACACCCGTGGGTGTGGGGTCACTCAGGGTATAGACATCGGCGAAAGGGCGACTCAAGCAGCATGCAATGTGTGACGTTGACCGCCTCCACGCCTCCGCCCACCAGTTTCTCGTGGTAGTGTTATTTTTTAGAAAGTGATTCAAGCTGTTACAAACCAATACTATCTAACAGTGGTTTTCAATCTACATTAAACAGAATACAGCCCGTTAAAATTACTGTATTCCCTTAATTTTAATTTACGATGATTTCTTATACCATGTAAACCTATAGTTATATCAGTTATTTTAAATTACTAGTAGTCATAACTAATGTAGCGATACTTAGTAATACCTATAATTTTTTTAGTAGCTTTACAAATTATATAACTTTCTTATGTTAAGGGATTGATGTACAAATTAATTCAAGATATAATTTTAAACTTATAAAATCTTTTTATTATTTCTCAATAACAAAAAACTAAAGAATAATTTTTAACTCACTGTTCATATTAAAAAAACTCAACTAGAACATAACAAAAGTTTTAAAGAATATTGGGAACCAATGTATGATGATGTTGATAGGAATCTGCTGTTTTTCGGTCGTGGCAAGGTGAATGCGCGTGTGCGAGTTGCGTTCGTCAACAGAATTACCAACATAATAATTAGGTTCCGGGTGTGGTTGTCTATAAAGTCGATTTTGAACAATTTCTTTTGTTTTATTAAATCAACTTACTAGATTTAAAAAAAATTTATTTCTGTATTCAATATTTTTTGTTAAAAATGTGACGAAATGTGTTATAAAATGGTTATACAATACGTATTATACCATAAATACCGTAACGCTTTATTATCGTAGAGGCCGCCTTTTACGCGTCCTAGTATCGGTCGGTAGGGTAGGGCGAGCGAGGCCTACTGCCAATCGGCGACATTTGGGTTTGGTCCGCAATATCTGGCTCCGCTTTTCGACGCCGCCTTACATCGTTTCTTGTATGTAGTTTTAGAAATTATAACAATAATAAAAATATAAAATATTTTTAATTGTTTGTTTTTTTTATTACTATCGTGGGCCTTCTTACTATCGTTGTCACCTAAGTACGCAAATTGAGTTGCTAGGTTCGTTTTTAATAATTCATATCGATAATGTCACGATGGCAATGTTTGTGTGCTATTTTGTAGCATCATCGTTTTTCCTACGGCTATACGTAAGTAAGTCGCACTAAGATAATAATCAACGTTACAAGCTATACAATTGCCGTCGATATGGACTCTGAGCAAAACGTCGAGATAAAAGAATCAATTAGCGATGGTGAAGAAGGCAATTCGCCTTGTAAGAGCCCCAAGGTAAATTCAAAATTTAGTAACTTAAAATTTATAAATTTGTTAAAGCGCGCCAATTTTGCGCAAAGTATTCCCCATTCTGGTGGGCTAAACATATCCTAATTAATTGGAGGGAGGAGCTATGTTTTTTATTTACGCTCAACTGTGTATGGGGCTGGGAAAATGACCAGAGGGGCGATATTTAAGGATGGGACAAAAACATGACGCATATTTGCTTAGGATATGGCTTATAGGGTACAATGATTATAATATCATTCATAAATTGGTTTAATTGTTTAAATAGTTATTAAAAACTTTCATCAATTGTTAGTTTCATTTTGCATTTCATATTTTCCTGATAACATTAGTTTTTTTGTATTATCATAGTAATGATATAATAAATTAGTATGCAAAGAAAACAATTTTTTAAATTTGATAAGTTTAGAGATATGTTTATTTCCCATTCCCCTCCACAAATGAAAATTTTAATTTCAACATTTTGAAGCAAATATTTGTAGTATGATTAAAAACGTACATTAGATAAGTTGAATTTTATGTTCTCTGTTATTTTATTTACACTGAACCAACATAGTAATGTTATTATAATATATGTATATACATATATTATTTGCATCATATGAAATATACTTGACATCATTAGAGCAAAACTTTTTTGATTTATATTTATGACACTAAAAAGTTTTATTATTGATGAGATATACAAAAAACTTCTTATTATATTTAATATGATAATTTTGTATTATAAAGTTTTTTAAATATCTTATAATATTAATGATTAAAAACATTTAACATTTTTTAAAATCTTTAGCTTTTTCTCCAAATCTTAAATTAATTTTATGTTGAACCTAGTTGTTTATCCATTATATTGAATAAGAAATTCTATTTCTTATTATAAGTTAAACATTTTTAATTGTATTATTTGCCTTTTACTTGGATAATATCCTGTTTATATTTAATATTGATCAAATACATATTGTTAATTTTTTATAAAAAATAAAATTATAAGATTTTATAAAAGATAGCTTTTTGTTTTTGCTAAAATAATGTACAATGTACATAATAAATATGCATGGTAGTATAGGCTGTGTCCATTTGAACTACACTAACATACATAGTATTAAAACTGTTATCGACCCATCAAAAAATTGTGTAGATTAAATATAAAAAAGGCTTAAAAAAATTTTAATTTAATTATTTTTTAATTAAGACAAATGTTATACATTGTTTATTAATAATAGTGTGTTTTATAATAATAATAATAATAATAATAATAAAATTAATGTGAATTGTGATTTGGATAATAAGATATATGACTTAAAATTTTTATATCCTCTAATACTTCTGGATAACTATTTTTAAATTTTAGTTTTTTTAAAGGGAAATAAGTTATTTCTCATAATTAAGTATAATGAAATTTATAATCATTTATAAAAAAAATGTTTATTATTTGATTATTTATTTTGATACTGCTTTTAACAGTTTTTGTTGCTGAATTAAAAAAGGTATGCAAATATAGGTAAAAATTGTAATAATCTTTATTTTAATAATTTTATGTTATTTCAATGTTTTTTAAACATTAAATATTTTTATGTACTATTAAAAATTATACAATCGTTAAAAATAAATTAAATGATTATTATTATAATTGCATAGATTTAAAATTAAATAACTGTTTGCATTTATACTTTAAGGTATAAGCTGATGTGAGTATTAAACTATTTAATATGATTTTATATTTTGTTTAATATTTATAATATAAAATTGAGAATTTTTTTTATTAATAATTGTTTCTGCTTAATTTCAAATAGAACATGTTTATTTAATAGCCATTTTTAATTTTTTTATTAGGAGTATAATAATTAAGATTTTACTGTCTAATTAAATATAATTTTCTTGACCTAAAAGTATAATTGAAAAAGTTTTTAAAAAAATCGAATAAAACAATGAGATCTAGGTATTTATAATACATATAAATTTATTGCTTAATAAATACTTTTCATAATTATAATTAATTTAAATATTTATTAAATAATTTAAAAAATTACTTCAAATATAATTTTGTTGAATGTAAGGATAGAACAAAAGGTTTTTTTAGCGAGTTTTCTAAAATCATTTGACTCTTGTTCGAAACATTGAACTAAAAAACTTTAAAGTTTAAAATATAATTTCAGGAACAGCAACAAGATCAACATCCAACTATTGTTCAAGTTCATGGTGGTCAACCACAAATAATTACGTTGGCAAATTTACAAAACTTATTGCCTATTCAACAAGTTCAGCAACTAACACAAAATCAACCTAATCAGGGAATCAAAACAATAACATCAAATGGAACTATTCAACCTATCTTTTCGGTTCAAGGATTACCTGGCCAATTTGTTCAGGTCAATATTTAATTTTTTTCCAAATTTTTATAATTATTAATTTTACTTAATAATAAAGTAAATTTTATTTATTTATATTTATATTTTTTTTGCAGCAAAATAATCAAACCATAACTGTTGATGGACAGGAAGCATTATTTATCCCGGGAAATTCAAATGGCCAAGGAGCTCCTACAATATTTACTCCAACAGGACAAATAGTGAGACCTCTTCAAACCATTCAGTTACAATCTGGTAAAATAGTATTTTATGTTTGTTCTCACTAATAATTTAAAAAAATCTCGTGTTCTTAAATAAATACCAAAAAGAGCTATCATTCACCTAACATATATTTATAAATCTATAATATACACAAATTATTTTCCAAAACAATGAAAAAAGGTGCAAGTAATCATGTTGCTGAAACCTGGCAAGCCTCTAAAACAACTTTCTTCATATAGGCTAATATCACTCTTCCTGTGTATGGCTAAACTTTTAGAGAAGCTTCTTTTAAAACACCTACAACTTTTAATAGAAGAAAAAAAACTTATACCTGATCATGAATTTGGTTGTAGAAACAAACATGCTACCATAGACCAAATTCATTGTTATAAAGGTAACAAGTAACGCACTCAAAGAAATAAATTATTATTGTAGAGTATTCCTTGACATAGCCCAAGCTTTCAATAAAATCTGGCACAAAGATTTGCTAGTAAAATTATATAAACAACTACCAAAATCATGATGTATACTTCTTGAGTCCTATTTGACTAAAGGACAGTTCTGCTTCATACATAAAAAAGCTTTAAGTGATTGTAAAAATATAGTAGCTGGAGTTTCACCAGGTAGTGTATTGGGCCTTATATTGTATCTACTCTACACAGCCGATTTTCCAACTAACACTAACTCAACAACCACTATGTTTGTAAATGATACTGTAATATTAACTACTCATAAAGATCATTGGATAGGTACTGATCAAATTCGAAGAACCATAACAATATTTCTACTTGGTTGAAATGTTGTAAGATCAAGGTTAACAATGAAATTTCAGTTCACGTTAATTTTACATTATGTAAAACCTGTGACATTCCAATATTTCTAAATCAACAAATAATCCCACAAAATGATTCAGCCAAATATCTAAAAATGCACCTTGACTGCTACCTTAACTCAAAACACCATGTATGTATGTCAGAAAAGACTGCAGATATAAGATAAACTTCCTAAACTTTATTGGTTAATTGAAAACTATTTTGAGCTATCACTAGAAAACACATTTATTATATATATAGAGGTTGTAAAACCCGTCTGGGCTAATGGAATTCAATTATTGGGTTGTGTTGGTAAGTTCAACATAAAAGTTATATAACACTGTCAAAATATCGCACTTTGTATGATCGTCACGGCTTACAGACTAGATAGAAATGTCGATAAGATATAATATTGCTAACTGTAGCAGATGAAGTCTTGGTTTGCATGTAGGTATATAACAAGGTTGGAACACCAAAAAAACCTGGTTTCAATCCAATTATTGGACAATTCCAATAACCTAAGACATTTAAAACGTATCAATCTATATGACTTGGTTTAAATTTATAAATAATTATTTTACAATTTAAATATTATTTTATTAGTACTAGACTAAGTTAGGAATCACTTCACTAGAAGTGTAAATCCTATTCATGTTGTATTTGTATGTATATGTATTAATTAATATACTTGTGTATTTATTAATTGTATATTTATAAAAAACATTTAATTGTATTGATTAATATTCATGATTGTTTCAATAAAAAGTGTTTTATGGTTATTTAAAAAAAAAAAAATGTTATAAGTTGATTGAGTTAATAATTTTATAAATTTTTAGGCCAAAATATATCAGTACGACCATCTAATATGCCACAAGTAGTACAGCTACCATCTGTTCAGCAAACTATTCCAGTTCAAGTGCCCATTTCTTCTAATGGACAAACTTTATATCAGACTGTTCATTTACCTATTCAGTCATTTGGATCGTCAATACCTAATATAATACAAGCCAACCAGGGTCAATTAATGCAAATCCCACAACTGACACAAATGGCTCAAACACCACAAATGGCACAAATTGTTACTGGAAATGGTCAAATTCAAACTGTTCAATTAGCATCGCCAATTGGCAATGGCCAACAAATTCAAATTGTTAATACATCCAACACCACAAATAATCAATATCAAAATAGTAATACACCAGCTTCCTCACCAAATGTTATGCATGTAAGTTTAATTATTAATATCATTACATATGTTTTAATGGCATATCATTACAGTATAAATAAATCTTCTATTTATTTTTTCTAGTCTAATTCATCACCAAATTCATCTACAAGCAGTAATGACAGTAGTCCACAGCAACAACCAGTTACAATACAAACTCAAACTGGACAAACTTTACAACTTATACCTCAACAGTTAACTATTGGAAGTAAGTACTGAACTTCTTTCATTAAAATCTTATTTAAATAATATTTTTATATTTGTAGATAATCCCCAACAGTTAACTGTGATACCTGCAAATAATCTTCCTCAGTTTTTGCAAAGTAATAATGGTGTTACTATCCGAGGAAACAACATAGTTCAAGTAATTATACTTTATAATGATTGTTTTATTAAACTATTATTTGACTACAAATACATACAAATTAAACTAGAAAATGAGTTATTAGTGCTTGCTGCGAAAGCTAAATAAGATTTCTCAAGAATACATAGCTGTAATCTGCCTGTGTCATTTTTATTATTAATTTTAAATACTGAAATGATTGTTTGTCATTACTTAGTAGTGAAAAATAGATTGTTGATTTTTAAAAATTGTTTTGTTAGAAAATAGTAAAATATTTAATTCAAATTAAAGAAACTTAATATATAATTAATAAGTTATTAGATATAAAAAATATTTCATGATAGATAACTAACAATATTATTTTTATTTTTCGATTAAATAAGCGATGCATGATAATAGAATAATAACCCTTTATATTCTAATGATTGATAATTTATAATTAAGAGATTGTTCTGTATAATAATATTATATCACTATTAGACATTATGTCTAGTATATTATTATAATTAAATAAAAATATGAATTTTATTTTTGAAGATTCCAAACACACAAAGTACAAATCAACCTCAAACTGTAAATATACCTGGAATTGGAACAGTGCAAATAATATCATCGTTTGGGGGGCAGCAGAGTACATCTAATTCTACTCAACAATTACCTCCTGGATTACAAAATATACAAGTTATCAATACTTGTAAGCATTTGTTAAATCTTTATTCATAAATTATACTATTTTAAATTATAATTTCCTAAAATGTAGCATCTGGTCAACCATTAGAAAATTTAGATCAAAAATGGCAAATAATTCCTATTAATGGAGCAGTTTTTCAAGATGGAAGTACTGGTACAGAATATGATTCTCCGGGTGAAGAAAAACCACGTACACGAAGAGTTGCTTGTACATGTCCAAATTGTTGTGATGGTGAAAAAAGGTAAGTTTAAATAATTTACTGCTGATACTCAAAAGTGAACTTAAATAAAAATTGATACTATAGAAATGGTGCTGGTAAAAGAGTACACATATGTCATGTGCCAGGCTGTAATAAAATGTATGGGAAAACTTCTCATTTAAGAGCTCATTTGAGATGGCATACTGGAGAGAGACCTTTTATATGCAATTGGCAGCACTGTGGGAAGAGATTTACTAGATCAGATGAACTTCAAGTATTTCATATTTTCAATCATATTTTTAATGAGGTTACTAATAATATTATTAAACCCAATAATTATATTTTAGAGGCACAATAGAACACACACTGGAGAAAAAAGATTTCAATGTAATGAATGTCCTAAACGATTCATGCGCAGTGATCATTTACAAAAACACGTTAGAACTCATCAAAAACAAAAATTATTGGTATAAGAACTTTATTATTTACATAATTTTTTTATACAAAATAATGTGCTATAAGTGTTATGATAAAAATTAATAATCAACTTGTATCTAATATTATTAAAAATACTTAACTTAAAGCCACAAAAATATTCTAAATAAAAACACATAAATATATATTTTTAAAACCAAGTTATTATCATGAGTAAAACAAATGTTTTCAGGATATCAGGCATATCCACTAGAAAAACTTATTATACAAATAGATATAACTCGTATATAGTTCTGCTCTAGGTTTTTGTGTTTACTGAACAGTTTTAAATATGTCTATTATTGCACTGGAACCTTCAAAATAAGTATTTTTTGTTTCGTTGTTGGCTATATAATTGCTTGTGTATTTTCTTCATTTTTTCTCTATTTTTATGAAATTTGCTCTTATTTCTTTATCAAATTTTGTTATTTTATGTAAAATTATAATCTGATAAACTACTGGTTTTTATACATTAACTTCCATCTCACTCAATTGGATAGTAATAAAAATGTTTATAAATAAATAAATCAGAAATAACTTTCTAGTTAACGTCTCTGTTCTAGTTAAGGAAAGAAAGTATTTTAAAGGAACATATTTTGAATAATAGTTTCCCAATGATTGATTTTAGGATGCTAACAATGGAAACATGTCAAAACAAGACTCTGAAGTTAATGGTGATGAAATGGGATTGGAACCTAAACAACATCATATGAACAATATAATTTTAGATCAAGATGATGATGATAGTTCATCTTCTTGTGAAAACAAAATGATAATTTTGCATGATGAAAATGTTTAGTTAATATGACTACATTATACAATAAAAAGCACATTTTTATTAACTCTTTCTTAATTTATTGTTTTTAACTTTCTGTTGTACATTTTTGTTTTATAAACCCACTATAATATTGTATAGCTCCATATATCATATTTTAATTTATGACATTATCATCTGTACAAATTTATGTATAAAGTATTATTTAAGTTTAATAAACTGCTAAGATAATTATTGTTACCCTTCCTAACCTAATAATTATTTGTTATTAACAAAATCATTGTTAATCCATTATATACAATAGCTTTTAAAATTTAAACTTTAATGTAAAATAATTTTTGTATTATTTTAACTTTTTCTTAGATATTGTATTCCATGCATATTAATCAAAATAAAATTAGATTTTAATTTTAAAAGATTAGAAAAATTATAGTAGTGTAATATTTATAAATAGATAAATTAACCAATAAAAACTTTAATGCTTTTTTTTTTTAAATAAACTAATCTTCAATTTTTTAGTTAAATTTGAATTGTGAAAACTGCAATTAATAAAGTGAATTATTAGCAATTTTTAAAGAAGCTTAAAGCGAAAAATTGTTAGGAATTTTTTTTATTTTTTATCAGTCTTCAAAATATTCTTTCTAATCTTACTAATAATCGTTTATAACTGAATATGTGAATATATAGCTATAAATTATATTTTCTAAATTTACTCTTTAAATTTGAATAAAAATTTTACTTTAAGAATTGTATAATTAGTATAAACATAGGTTTATCTTTATTGTATAATTTATTAAACATAGAAAAATAAATAAAAATATTCTTATTTATTCGAGCTAATACATATTTTATCAAAAAATTGTTAGGACTGCCATAAATTTGGAAAATCAGATATTTTGATTAAAGTACCTAGAATTTCATTAAAATTATTTTGCAGTATATGGAATATCTGTAAATATATAACTTCAGTTATAATAGTTTTGATATTTTTATATAATTATTTTAATATAATTAAACATAAAAGTATTATAATTTAATGACATATAATAGGTGAAATTTATAATTTTTGTGATAATGCTTTTTTATTTCCATGTGTACACTTATTCATTTTGGTGACTTGTGTTCTTTAATCTATTTCAGGCTATACACAAATTATTTTCAAATGAAACTAGTGTATTAATTTCAAAACTTGAATGATGAAANGTGTTCTTTAATCTATTTCAGGCTATACACAAATTATTTTCAAATGAAACTAGTGTATTAATTTCAAAACTTGAATGATGAAATTCTAATAATGATTACAATTATCTGTGGAAAATATTTGTGGGTTCTATTCACTATTTTTTTCTTATTGTGAATAGATATAAAATAACTAATTATTTTATTATTCTACGTATCTATAATTGGTCTTACTAAAGGAAGGGGTAGGTCTGTGATATATGGCAACCTGATTTCAATTTGGCGGGTAACAAAAGGGTATGCCTGCACCTCTAATTTTTCTAATTAATTATGATTTCAAAATTTAGAAAAATAATTTAATAAGAAACAAATAATTTTAACCCATTCAATTACTTTAAGCTTCGATACGAATCTAAGAAGGTATTAATTTTACTATGATGTGTTTTTAGCTTCGATGTAAAGCTGAAGAGGTATTAATTTTACTATGATGTGGCTTTTTTGTGTCTGTTACCATTTTTTCTCAGCTCTCACCGAACCGATTTCTTTCAACAATTCGTCAAAAGATCACAAATTGTTATTAGTTGAAGACATTACCCTCAAAATTTGAAAAAATTTCCCTCGTTCCTCGTAAATGGGAGAAATCTCCAAAAAAAATAACAAATATAAAAATCGGTAAATTTTGACATTTTTTCAATTTTTTTTTACTTAAGATTAACTTAAGCTATAACATTTTAAAAATAGCCAAATCAATATAATTTTTTTTTTTTAGATGTATGATGTCTTTACCATTCATTTGGTATATTTTTTTATAAATCTGACCTTTTACCTGCCATAGGGGGGAATTTAAAATGACAACTTTTTCACAAAAAATTAACTTTTGAAAGTGTTCCGAAAAGTTTGACACTTATATATATATATATTAAATTAAAGCTAATGTAATGTATTCTATTATGGAAAAAAAAAATTTGGACTTTATTTTGTCTTTACGGTGAAAATGGCTACCATATGCTATTATTGTGTTAAAATTTTTCGATTTTATATTTTAAATTTTAAAATGCTATAACTTTTTAAAAAATGTATGGATCAATACAATTTTTTTATGAGAAATAATATTTATATTCCTCTTTCATTCGAAATACTTTTTTTTTTAATAAAACCATTTCCCTTTAAACATTTATTCATATATTATACTTATAAATCATAAAACTTGTATTTTCAATCAACTTTAAAAATTAAACACTGTCTATAGATTCGCATCGAAGCGTTTTTTATGATAGTGATTTTAATCACTGTCAGATATTATACTTGAACTAACTATACCACGTCCCCACAGTCCCGGTTTTTTGTTTTATGTATACACAGAGTGGTTTCATAATTATGTCTCGTGCAATACTTAAAAATAATAAGGAATAAAATTCAGTTTTTTTTTGTCAATAATTTTAATATTTAGGATTGAGACTATATAATTTTTTAATAAACATGATGTTTTATCCTAAAACTTAAACTCTATTAAACAATATTTTGTTACAAGTTATTATCACTTAATGTTATAAGATAAAATATCCATTTGTGAAATCAAAAGATCATTTATGAATTGATATATTTTAAGCAGAGGCATACTTAAGGGAGTCACGATAGGGAGCGATCGCTTCCTAGTCTAATTTTCAATATTTTTTAAAGCTGAAATTTACGAAATATGATTCTAAAGACATTTTTTTTGTCATCACTTTGCTCTTTAGCATGTTTACCAAGGTAAAAAATATGAATCATTTCTCCTAAAATGAGCTCTAAAAACATCCCTGGTTTTAAGCAGTATTTTAGAGTTCTTAAAACAGGGGAGTATATAAAAATAAAAGATTATCTTTTCTTTCAAAATTGTTTTAGTTACAAAGTTTAACAATCATTTGGTGATTTTACTCTTAGTTGGGGAAAGATTATAAAAATATCAAGTTTCAGAAAAACTTATATTCGTCCGTTAGAAGACGAAAGAGACAATTGAAAAACAGTACTAGGCAAGGTAAGGAGAAGTTCTCATTATTATAACTTCCGATTTTAAATCCATAAAAGTCAACAAGTCATAGAAAATAAACCTCGTAACTCCACCTTACTATAAATGATCGTCTCATTTGTAGGGTATTTCGTTAAATAAACAAACATATATATGAGTTTTCAGTAAATAAGGAAACGGCTTTCGATTGTTCTCATTGTTTGTATCAATTAACCTGTTTCCTTACTTACTGAACATTGTATATTTTGTTCCAGTTATCAAATTCAAGATTAATAACATTTATTAATAAAAAAAATCATTCATTCCAATAAGTGATTATCAACCTGTCATTTTCTTAATTAGATCATTTTCTATTTTATAAATATTTTACTAACTTGTAAGCTACTTAAATATATATGTTGCCATTAAAAAATATACAGTTGACGCGCCCTATAGGATACGATGCCAAAAAGTAATTAAATAAACCTATAAATAAAAAAAAATGTTTTTCAATTTTTACAATCTTCTTGGCTATTGTATGGGTTATAATAAATTAATAAATCTGTAAATATAACTTACATGTATAATTATAATAAAATTAATAATATTAAAGAAACATTATTAAACATAATCACAAAGGCTAAAATGAAAAGGTATAATATTTAATAAATATCTCAGTGCTATCTATTCATATGTATTGTTCATACTTAAAAGATTTTTAAGAAAATTGTTTTTTTTGTCATATAATAGACATCCACGCATACATAAATATTTACGGAAAGTCACACTTTTGTTGTTGAACAATCATCTACCTGACAAATTTACGTCATACTATACAAGTTTAAAAATGTGCTGTCGTGTAAGTTCTTTTTAAACAATGATTATCACATTTCGATTAAATATATATGTATATTATTATATTCAGTGTTAAATATATGTTAGTCATCATATTAGTTCTTGACTGTATGGAATAATGTGTTGAGTGTTTTATACTTTTTATTTAAATTTTCTTATACATTTTGTTTAGAATTTGAAGTCAATTTTCAACAGTGTTCGAGGTAATATTAAATTGCTAAGAATCTTATTGATATTTAGTATTGAAATAATTATATGTAATGATATATCAACCGAATAATTAGACTGTGTTAGAAATTATTTTGATTGAAAAATTTCTTTTTGGCTATAAAAATTAACTTATACTAAAATTAAATAAAAAACCTATGAAATTCTAGTTATTTAAACTTTTTATCTATAGTACTGTATTAAAACAATTGAGTGCACCTTTAGAAAATTAAAAAAAAATATATTGTTATTTACAACGACGTATTTTTTATGAGCTTTATTATAATTGTATAATTTCTAGCCTCATTATATGTTTTTAATATTTTGGTACGTGCTATTTAAATTTTAATCTCTGGAGGGTAATGTGTGGGCAAATTGATGAAATTGTTGGCGTTTTAATCGAAAATAAAATTGTTTTTATTTTGCGGAAATTTCATGAGTTACAATTCATAATTAAACTATTAAACACTCGTGTAGGTTACAATGTATTTAATTATTAGTCCATAAATAACATTTATATATTATAAATTGATTTATATGAAAATATATTAAATCATTTTAATAATAAATATTAAATGAAATTTTGATGTACTTTAAAATTTATATACTGCTTTATGCTTAATTTTTAAGCAACATAAATTTAAATAATTTGTTTAACTATAAATTATAGACTTGAATACTCATTAATTATGTTCTTTAAAAATATTTTGGTGAATTATTTTAATAAAATAATAAGTCATCTGATACTATAATAATTAAAAATTTTTTTGTTAAAATTTTTGATTATACCATATCTTATAGCATTAAGTAAGAAATTATATTTTTTATCTAGCAATAGATTTATGGAAGAATTTTTATCATAAATTGACTTGCTTTATCTCAGCTCATAAAAAAAATTCCATCAACAAATATATTGCTTTAATAAAATCAATGTAGCCTAACAACTGATTTAATATGAACAAATATACTGACTTATATATTGATTATTACAATAATAATAAATAAGGTATTATTATATAGCTATAAAATTATTTTGATTATATGTTTAAAATTGAATATAAATAATTAAAAATATTAGTTGACTATTTTTCATCGAATCTTAACTAGATAATTAAGTTTATTTGTGAGGACTTTAACAACTATAGCTCCATGCAAACACACTATTAAAGTTATTGTAAATTATTAAAAATTATTTGTAAAACAATTGCATATTTTAGTTTTATTCAGAACATTGTAATCAATTATTAATATTATGTATTAAAAAAAAAATGTTCATGTCTTATTACATACTAATTTAATATTAACACGTTACTATTAAAAAATTATACCTTTTACTGTCTAAAAATGTTTTTTGAAGTCTCAAATACAACCCCACTATTTAACTCACTATTAAATAATAAATACTTATTGACAAATGTGCAAAATTGTTTAAAACCTGCCTAATAAAATCAATACTTAAAAATACAATATTTCACATGAGGTCAAGAAATCTTATTAAGATATTCAAATTATACTATTGACTTTTAAACTTTTTATAAAAAATTAATTTTTTTTAATAATAATATTAAAACTATAAGATAAGACTTAAAATATTGGAAGGGTTGTGCTAAACATAAAGTATGACAAATATTTTATTGGTGCTGACAAATATTTAAAGGGTTTTTCAATAGGGACGCTACAAAAGTTTTTTTAAATAAATCAAAAACGGTTTTGGATATCAATGAAATTCTTTATTCATGTGAAAGTACATTCGATGCCATTATGTATGGCCACCACGGGCACACACACTTGCAGAAGTCCAGACGCTGAACCCAATTTTCGACGGTTTTCAAGCATAAATCGGCCGATACTGCTGCAATCTCACGTTCGATATTCGTACGAAGTTCATCAATCGTCGCTGGCTTGTTGGCATAGACCATAGACTTGACGTAGCCCCACAGGAAATAGTCTAACGGCGTCAAATCGCACGACCGAGGCGGCCAATTGACTGGGCCATTTCGTGAGATAACACGTTCACCAAACTTGGTTTTCAATAAATCGATTGTGACATTCGCTGTGTGGCTTGTGGCGCCGTCCTGTTGAAACCACATATTGTCCAAGTCCATATCATCCAATTCGGGCCAAAAATATTCGGTTATCATTGAGCGGTAGCGATTCCCATTCACAGTAACGTGCCGGTCTTGATCATCACGGAAGAAGTACGGCCCAATGACGCCGCCGGCCCATAAACCACACCAAACCGTAATTTTTTCGGGATGCAATGGTGACTCATGGAGTACGTGTGGATTGCTGCCTGACCAATAACGCATATTTTGCTTATTGACGAAGCCATTCAGCCAGAAATGAGCCTCATCGCTGAAGATGATTTTTCGATGAAAATCCGGATCATTTTCAAGTTGTTGCTCAGCCCAATCACGAACATACGACGCTTCTGGTGGTCAAGCGGCTTCAGTTTTTGCGTCAATTTGATCTTGTAAGGATGTAGGCCAAGATCTTTTCGCAAAATTCGCCACAACGACGTCACAGATACGCCCAACTCTTGAGAACGACGTGTGAGAGACTGATTTGGGTCTTCCTCAATTGATGCGCTAGCGGCAGCAATATTCTCGACACTACGGGCACTTCTTTGTCTCACTGGCACGGGAACATTTTGTACTGTGCCTGTGGATTCAAATTTTTCCACTAGACGCTCAATTGTTGATCTGGCAGGACGATTATGACGACCATAAATTGCACGTAGCGCTCTTAAAGTTGAGGCCACTGACTCCGAATTTCGGTAGTAAATTTTAATAATTTCGACTCATTGTTGGATCGTATATCTTTCCATGATGAAATGGCAAACCTTACTGAAGAGAAATGTCAAGAGAGCGGGAAAAAATATAGCGTCGTTTGCTATCCCTATCGGTTTACTTTTGTAGCGTCCCTATTGAAAAACCCTTTATAAGGAACATTTAAAAGTAAATAAATAAATCTTTTATATTGTTTTATTTTAAAGCTTATATCGATTCTCTCATGTTAATATATAAATAGTATAACCTGAATATATTTTAAAGAAGAAATACTTTAAAGAGTAAAAATAACGGAAAAATAGAAAAAGATACTGGAAAACCGATACAATACAAAAATGTAGGCAATGATAAATTCTATTGAGTTTGACAAGTGATACGTTTATTTAAGGCCAAAGAATCCTTTATACGTCCCGAGTATCTAAAGAAATTAATAGTAATCAATAACTCATATTCAATAAAATACTAAAATTTTTATTAAAAACAATTTTCTATGTATTTTAAGCATTAAAATATCGATGAATGGCTAATAGTAATCCAAAATCGTTTGGCATACTTAAAATAAAATAGTTTATCGTCACTTAAAAGAAAAGTTAAGAATTTAGTGTTTTGAATAACAAAAACGAAACATCTTTTTATATAATAGAACAAGGAAAAAAACGCTTTCCTGGGAAAATTACTTAGCCTGATCAGATTTTCAAATTTTTTTTTTCTACAAAAGTACTCGGTCACTAGACTCCAAGAAAATTATTGGCAAAGGTCGGAAAATTTTTGCTGCTCGCCCGCGAGCGTTTTAAAATTTCAACCGTTTTAGAAAAAAACGCTCGCTGACGCCAGCGCATTTTACGACTTAAGGTTTCAAATTTTCACCAGACCCGCCCAATGACATTTCTGAGATATGATAAATAAATCAATTCAATTCGTTCATTTTTCATCGTTTTTCGACTTTTTTTTTGAAGTCTATGCTCATGGTTTTAATAGGGTATTGACTCATTTCTGCGCATATGTTTATTGTGAACCTTAATTTGTGTATTTTTATGACGATTTAACTTTTTATTCAATTCATAATTAATATATGTTATTGTTGACATATATAAATTGGTTATTTTAGTTACTAACTATCATTTTTTTGATATTATGTTTGTTATTTTTATATATTTTTATGTTTAGTTTATTAAGTATACTTTTATTAAGATACTTTCTGTCGATTACTTTAAATATTTTTATAATACAAACTTGTTGATATATTTTATCATGTTTATTGATATATATATATATATATCATTTGTATATAACTTTTGCTTTATAGTGAGCTTAATGTTCAATTGTACTATTTTCGCTTTGAACTTTTTTTTTTATATCCACGCAGAGTTTATATTAGGACACTCTTTTGCATTTGTGCATAGCACTATAATTTATATATTTTATCAAGGAATGTTATATGTTATGTATAAATAAGTTGTACATAAATTTCAAGACGGTTATAATTATATAAGTTTGTACATTTATTATCAGAACAGTACAGTATAAATAATCTTATTTTTCTCATATATGATATATGAGTCGATGATTTATCGTAAAAATTGGGATTGATCTATGACAACTATGCTGTCCAACGTCAAATCACAGTATTTTTATCAAAATTAATTTTTTTACTTAGTTCTACGTATAATAACCTGCCGAGTTTTTTTTACAATTATTCTATAATATACACACAATTATTATAATTAGAATATTAATATATTTTTTTATATCACGGGTGTATTTATGGGAAATATGGGCACCGCTTGAATCAGCGCCATCAATATTTTTTTAATTATCTTCTAAGAAATAAGGACCTAATAACCTTTTTTTTTATCATCACTTTGATTTTTAGTAAAAAAATTCTATAGCATGTCTAACAAAGTAAAAAAATATTAAATACCCTCCTAAAATAATTTCTGCATACGCCTAAGGGTAATACTTCATTAACAAATGTCAGCCATATACCCAATACATTTTAATATATTCTCTTTTTGAATTTTCCTGATTTTAATAATTACATTTTTAATATATTTTTGTTACACTGATTCTGATGTAATATTTTTTCTGCAAAACACTTATCGTACCTGGACTAGCGGGTACTCCTACGAAAATCAGTGGTCTACTACGACGACGGCCAGAAGAGGCGTACGCGCCGTAGCCTCGTAAGGTTTGTAGGGCCTCAGGTC